TAAAAACTCTCCTACTTTCCTCCCCTTTCTTCTCAGTAATCACCAGAAATTTTCCCCTTTAGCTTCCTCCAATGGCCAACCAAACTTGGTGATCTCTACTAACTTTATTTTGCCCCCAAAAAAGTTCCCTCCTTTTGTCTAGTAGAACTCTGGCAAAGCTCCCAGCAGCTGTTCAATCTCCTCACCCCAGACCGTTATCGTCGACCTGAACCCCCTCCTATTCTTGCTCACCCTTATTCCTTCTCCTCTCTTCCCTACATTAAAGAATTTACTTTCAATAACCAGAAACTTCCTGGTCAGAGAAATGGCAATTGTCCCCTCACTGCTTGCCGGTAAACGCAAGCAAAGAGGAGGAAAATCTGCCCTTACACCAGATTGTCACCCATGTCCATACAGATTCTCTCCACACAAAATCCAACTTCTCTTCGTTAAATAGAACACTTCAATCACAAATCCCAAATTTTTTTTTTGAAATAAAAAGTGTAACGAATATATATATTAACATGGTACCAAGAAAACAGAGGATCTCACCTATTAGAAAAGCTTTATAATGTAGTTAGTGTATCAATGACATATTCAAAATCCTCATCACTAATTATGTCATATCCAAACAAAATATACCCAAAATAATGCAGCGATCTATTTTTTAATCTATACAAATCACCCTCTTGACCCTCAAAAGCCCTAGAATTTCTCTCCTTCCATAGAACCCAAAAAATGGTCAATGGAATCATTTTGGACAGCTTTCTATCAAAGTGCGCACCATCCGAAGCCCACAATTCTTCCCTTACAGACCTAGCCACCGCCCAATTAATACTGAGTAGATTGTAATAAGGCTCCACAACTTAAAAACCACAGGACACCACAACAACACACGATTACACGATTCTTATGCTTTCATGCATAAATAACATCTGTTTGAAATGCAAAGCCCTCTAGCTTTTAATTCGTCAACAGTTAATATACACTCCCTACAAGCTTTCCAAGCAAAAAAACGCTATTCTTGGTGGGACTTTAGTTTTCCAAATCTACTTCATAGGGAAATGATGTATCCGTTCAAGATCTTTCCCGGTAATCTAACAACAATAGGATTTCACTGAAAAACTACCGCTTTTTTTCAATTTCCCAACAACTCTATCATCCACAAAATTTATCTGCTGTAAAGCAAGCAACTACAGTAAGCTTTCATACTCACAGACTTCCCAATCTTGTAGATTTCTTGAAACATTTATCCACCATACCACACTGTCATTATTCATTTTGTAAGCATCCTGGACCAGCACATTTTTTGTCTGTGCAATAGCATAAATTCTCGGATATTTACTCCTCAAGCTCTCATCCCAAATCCAGACATCATTCCAAAATTTTATTCTATTACCCCTACCAATTCTCCACCACAGATTGTCATGGAAACTAGGCCACAGCATCAGAATTTTTTTCCATAAGCTTTTGCCATGCTGCTTCTCAGATCTCTCACCCCCTCTGTTATCCCAATTAGATCACCCCATCTGATTGCAACTATCCTCCTCCATACAAAATCTCCACAGCCATTTCCCCTGTAGAGCCACATTTAAATCCACCAAGAACCTATAATTCCCAAACCCCCATATCTAGGATGCCTTTTAACCTCATCCCATTTAACTAAATGAAATTTCCGGTTCTCCTCATCATCACCCCACAGAAAACTATTCTGAATGGTTCCTAACTTTTTAGCAATATTAATTGGAATTGTAAGAGTAGATAAGTAGTAAATAAGTAAGTTGGCCATGGTGTTCTTTATAAGAGTGAGTCTGCCTCCCTTGGATAAAAAATTCCTCTTCCAACTAGCAATTTTCCTTTCAAATAATTCAACCACTAGTTTCCAAGTAGTTTTATCTTTATACTTGGCACCCAAGGGCATCCCTAAATACTTAATCGACAAAGACACCTCCTTGCATTCCATCACTTCCGCGAACAGTCTACCATTCCCTTCTCCCCCGATTCTGACCAATTCCATCTTCTGCAGATTTATCTTTAATCCTGAGACACCGGTTTTGTGCAAGTCCCAAATTAACTCTCATTTGTTGTTTAGAAAAAAATAAAATAACTCTCATTTGACTCTTACAAAATTATCGCTGCTCCTTAACAAAAGAATTTTTGCATTTTTCCCTTTTCAGGAAACTAACACCTTGTAAAATAGCAAAAAAGGACAATAACCAGTATTTGCAAAATTTTATGTTATAAATCTAACAAGGACAACGAGTAACAGAAGGTTGACAGAGCCTCATGACATTATTAGAATTCAGTTATAAACCATGATAATAGAAGTGAATTAAGAAGACAACCTGCAGCCAGAGCTGTGACTGGACATTATCCCGTGATCCAGTAGGAACAATTCCTCCAGCAAC